GTTCAGGGTCCGAACACAAAGGGTTACAATACCAAGCCCAGAAATGTTTGAATATTCATTCAGATACTAATTCATCCAGAAAACATTTCCTAAGTGCCTACTGTTCACTAGACACAGTGTCGTTTCCAAGGAGGAAGGCAGTCTGCTGCTCGTAAAGAAACAAGGAACTACACAAATTCAGTATGAGGGCAGAGTTGGGACTAGACAAGGTTAAGTCTGAGTCCTGTGGGATCTCCGTGAGAATGAAGGAAGTCTCTTTCGAGTTGAGTCCCAACATCTAACCCATAAGCGGAAGTTAGGTGGGTAAAGACAAAGGCCAGAGAGGGTTCCAGGCTGAGGGGGCAGAACCTGTCCCTGGCATAATTTGATATTTATAATACAGCAAATCTATGACTTTACAAGCCTCTAGGTCCAGTTATGTTCTCAGACCTTCCTTCCCCACCATCCTACATTGCCATTTCTCCCAAAGTCTGTCTGGGGGACATACAGGCTACAGGGGTGAGGCCGAGCAACTGACCAAGAACAGAAAATGAAAGTGGGTCCAGATTGCCCATGTGCCCATGTTCTTCTAAATCACACCACCATCATTTACTAGATCTCTCTCTCTCTCTCTCTCTCTCTCTCTCTCTCTCTCTCTCTCTCGCTCTGTGTGTGTGTGTGTGTGTGTGTGTGTGTGTGTGTGTGTTCTCTATCTCCTTCCACCATGTTTTAACACACAGTGATAACGGGCATAGGAAAAATGGTTAGTGAGGTTTTTTTAAACCTATTTGAAAATGAAGTTTTAGAAAATCCAAACACAAGGAGACATTCCCTGCCCGCTTTACTTGAGCTTAAGGTAGTGGTTGCTATGATGCCCTTCGATTTGAAAAAGTCCAAGCTCATCCTCTTCCCACACTAATCAGCAGCTTGGCTGAGTGGGAATGATGGGCCTCTGCCTCCTTCAAAGTCCTTAACTACCTTCCGGGCTTATCCTCAGGGAGATAGACTTGCCCTTTGAACCCTCAATTTGTGAGTTGCTATTTTTATTCTCAGGGCTTACCTAGCCAGGACTTCTAATACCAGCTTCTGCAGCAGCAATGGTGGAGGCATCACCCTCTATCACCAGCCCTTGTCCACTGCTGACAGTGTCCGGAGCTGTGGGAGGGTATCGCATGGCGGGTTGAACAAGAAGAATTGGGACAACTAGAAGAGAGAAAGATCCTTTCTGGAGTGTGGCAAGGTAGATGATAGAAGCTGTTTGTATCTTCTTAACCGGGGTATCCCTGAGAACAGTGTCATACCTGGTAGAGAAGAAGCAGCAGAAACAGTCCGTCTTGGCATGCCAGTGACCTCCGGAGAAACAGATGGAGTTATTCCCAGGCAATCTTTGGCTGAGAACTCTTAAGGCAAGAAAGGCGGAAGTGAGACTGTCCAGTGGCTTCCTTTCTTTTTTACTCCCGAAATACTTGAAATTTATTTCCTCCACCTGCACTCTGGCGTGGCCTGCATGCCGTTTAGCTTGTCATGTCTGTTTCCAGAAACAAGGAGGCCTCAGAAAAGAAAGACCTGCAAGTCTTCCTGTCACTTCTGTGATCTGAGGACAGGTGGGTACCAGCTAGTAGGCCGAGAGATGGCCTGCCGTCAGTCCTCTAGTAGAATTGCCATAGACCCTTCAGGCTGTATTCCCCAATAACAGAAACGTCAGTGGGGACAAGCTAGAGCAGAGCCCCAGGGAGAAACTAGACTGCTGACAGGTTTGTGAGTTTGTTGGGAAACACGTGGCCTCTCCTTTGACTAGGTCCTATTCTCAGGTCGTCTTTGCTGTCGTCCTCCTCGGGGGCACATGTACTCCATGCTGAAGAGGAGGCTGCGGGGATTGTTCTTGCTAGAGACCAAAATACGGAGAGGATGCCTGAGCCTGGCCTGAAATTCTAGTTCTGCTCTCAGTTATCTGACTTCACTGTGGAATGAATTTCCTTGTTGACAAAATGGGCATGATTCTAGTCTGAAGATGTCATCTCACGAACTGAGCAGTCATGCACTGGAATTTCTCAGCAGAGGGTGGAACCAGGCAAATGTGCAACTACTCCATATCTTGTTATCTGTGGGAGGCACCCAACTGTGACAAGGTCCCTTCTTCATGGCCTTATCGGGACAATGCTGGGAATGGCAGCAGGCATGTTAGGGTAGAGACCTCTGGGAAGTCCCCTACCCTGGCAAGGTCTCATCCTCCCACCCTGATCAGGAGAGTACGACAGGAGGTGGCAGGCCTAGATCAGGGCCAGGCAGAGGGAACTAAGGGAGTTTCCCAGGAAACAGTCAGGGCTAGCACTTGAGGTGAAGGTATGTGTAAGTGACGGGTGGAGAGGCATTCAGAGAGTTGCCTTCTTTTCCTCGGGAGTGGGTGAAGGGAAGTTGAAAGAAGGAAGGACTATGGAGGGAGACTATCACTTCTGGGACTCTAAATAGACACAGTCCTCATGAGGAAGTACAGAAAACTCAAAGATGGCACAGAGTGTGACTTGGTTTCTGCTGTTGCCTCTTAGTCACCGGTCTTGGGCCGGTGTCTGTAGGTGGCTTCTCTGACAGTTGTCCTAAGATCCTCCTTATCTTTTTCTCATTCTTTCATGGGAGTTCCAGCCAGTGTGAGGGACCAGTTGGACCTTTGTGGAGGAAAGCTTAGATTCGTACAGCCTCCACAGGATTGTGTGCCTCTGCAACAAACGTTTAGCCAGCTGTTGCTGCTGCCTCCTCTGGTGTGTTGTTCCCCCCCCCCCGTTCACGCTACAGATCTTGTCTGATGGAAGACATACAGCTTCGCTAGATTATAAGCTCTATGAAAATAGAAGCCTCATCTCTTACTCATAGCTTAGACGCTAGTCCTCAGAATGCAGAAAGCATATACAAAATAAGTGGGTTACATAAGTGAATGAATGTATGCACGTGAGAATGATTGTCATTTTGAAAATTTGACGTTTTCTGGGCTGAATTAAGGTTCTGTCTTCTCAAGAAGAACTAAGACCTTTGACTAGGGTAAGTGCCCTCAGCCTTTCTAGAAGCAGGCTGCCTCCCAACTGTCCGAGGGAGATTTCTGCCAAGGTACTGGGTCAACTTGTAGTTTCCAGAGGGCAGATTGCCCACAGGGACACGGGCTTTACGGTCCTCCCTTGGAATTACTGCAATGTTTCTTGCCAAAAGCATGACACACCACTTATACGCTACAGCACTGTTTCTACTTTCCCCACCCCCTCCTTCCTCAAAGCAACTCCTTATTCTGTGCATTTGACATGTTTTGATGGCTTGAAAATGGAATTGTTCATTTGCTAAGACTGCATTCCTATAATAAGATTGTATTTAAAACACCATGATGTGCTGGCTTACCTCTCTCTCTCTCTCTCTCTCTCTCTCTCTCTCTCTCTCTCTCTCTC